ACAGTCATGAAGCTGGCTGGGTAATTTGGACCAGTTACTGTCACTCCACAAAACCTATTTCACATGGGGTTTGTATAGACAAAATGTGCTTTGTAGGAAAGTTGTGTTCAATTACAGTTGCCCATGAGCATTTAAACTTCCAATATCAGACTTTCAGTTAACAGGTGCTGCTGTGGCTTTCTGGTCTGCTGTTATATTACTATATTGTTTGTCCCATTTGAGAAATAATGCTTCAGTTATTTAGGATTTTAGTTCTTTTGAAGAGATGACACTGAATTATTGTTTTTGTTTAAACTTTTTTAAACTTACTGAATTATATTTTTTGCCTTGATTCTTTTTAATCATTGTTTTTTAAATCATTGTTTAAACTTTTTTTAAAACAATTATAAATTTGGCTTTTCTTTTTAATGAGCTGTACACCACTTGATTTCTGTATTTATATGCAAGTAGTTACAGATACTCTGCTTGGCTCAGTAGTTTTTAGAGGCTAGATCTCTAAAATAGGTTCTATTGAGCAAGGCACGAAACAATTTATCACATTTCCATACCATTGTATCTATGCACAAATCAAGAAATTGTGATTGTACAGTACACATCAAAGCTTTCTTTTTTAGGATTAGAGCTGTATTTTCCTTACAGAGCAATGCCTCCCCAAGGGTATTCCAACCCTATAGAAAATATCCCAGCTGTGTTTTTCAGCATCAGTCTTCATATTCTATGTATGACATACTGTTTATTTAATGCAATATCAGTAATTATGTGCACAATGCATTTTCCTTCTCTCAGTTATAAGTTGAGAGTGTTGGCTTGGTACAGCTTCTATTCCTTTCAATAGGATTGATACAAGAGACATTCCCATAGCTTATGGTTTTACACATTCCTTGGTTATCAGGGGGCAGTTTGAACTGGAGTTTGAACCACGTTAGACTTATGCTAATTATAATGGATTTGTGTACCTGATGAGTCCCAGTAAGGATGAGACTGTCATATACTGCCTCCTGGTGATTAAATAATGTGTAAAACTGAAATAGTCCTTTCCCCCCCAGGGTGGTAGAGTCATGAAACATCCAGTATGAGAGCATGACATAATAACAGCTCTTTCTTTCTAGTCTGAAAGTTCATATAAAGGAAAGTGTATACTACTGTACCCATAGAATATACTATAGTTTGCTTCTCAAAATATTCTCCAGTATTGCCATTTTTATTCCAGGAGCTCTTAGAAAAAAAGGAGATGACAAAAACATGCCATAGAAATACATATTTTTAAAGCCTTGCACAATGCTGCTATCTCATGTGTGAGTAAATACCATACGACATACAATTAATATTTTAAAATACTTTGTAAGAGTATTGTACTCTTCAGTAGCAAAGCAAATGACTGATCACCACAGTTTACCCGGTACTGCATTGACTTACATTCTAGAAGAAACCTGCTAAATATGAAATATATTCCTCTTAGCAGGTTGTTTCCCACAATACCTGCAAAAGTAACATTCACAGGAATAAGGAAAAATGACCACATAGTTATCTGTGTTCTTGTTCTTGTGGGTCTCAAGGTTGATCCAAAATCATATGGGCCATTTCTTCCTCTTCTTGCATGAGAGACAAGAATAGTTCTCAGCAAACTCCTACGCTAAGCCTGTCCTATACAAAAACCACATGGTTAAACATAGCCAAACAAGCAAACATCAGCTGTTGTGAGCCAGTAGGAGTCACCTGTAACTTTTAGGCAGCCATCGATGCTGTTAGCATCCATCTCCTTTCCCATAAACCTCTTTTTTTGTAGCTGAATCTGCATTTGCTATTAAACGTCTACAGGCTGACCCCAGAGCTGCCTGTCTTCCCCCCAGCACTTCCCAAAGTTGCTACCTAATTGTATTTTCTTTTCACCATGACAGAGTAATCCAGAAAAGTGACATTGACAATATTCAATTAATTTAAGTTAGTTAATTTAAAATCAAATTCCATCTGTCCCTCCCCATCCACTTCTTGTCCCCCACATACCCTTCCAGTTTTCAGCCCTATGCAGTTGTACAGCAGAGTTGCTCTAAAGGGTCTGGGTTTCAACAGCCAATTTCAGTTCTAAATTAAGAGGAAATAAACATGTGGCAATAAATTGCTATGCTGTAAAGCTCCCAAGGCAGGCTTCATAAGAATATCTTTTTGTGCACTCATTAAGGCTTTGGTAGCTAGGGCTACTTTTAATATCTATTTATGTAAGACAGCAATAGGCAGTTGCACTTGGCTTCACTGTGTATAATGAATATACTCAAAGTGCTGATAGATACCAAGTCTAGGCTTACAAAACTTGTTTTATGTGTTGTAAAATCAGGCCCGGTCCATTAAGTTTTGTTAAGAAAAATCCATCTAAACCATCTATTACTAAGCTTTCATTTGTATAGTTCCTGAGCTGATACAGTCCATAGAGGGTATGCCTGTTTTGAAGATGAATTGACATTATTACCATGTAAGAAGTTCATTCCAGTACAGAAAGAGAAGATTCATGATTGGGGGGAAAAGGGGACAAGTAATTGAGCAGTAAGACATAACAGGGTATCTATAATAGACCAAATTTAAACAGAACAAGTTAGCAGGAGCGAGGCCAGAAATAGGACATATTTCCCATTGCTGGCTCTTGCTTTGGTTGGGTCATCTCCGTTTTTGTGTGCATTATAGCTTATTGATATGTTGCTTTTTAAATAAAGTACAATGGAAACATTTCTGGTACCTTTAAGCATGCTTTGGAACAAAATGTTTAAAGTATTTTGCTGTTAAATAATTTGGATTTTTTTCTTACAACAACTGAGAGGGTGTTTTTCTGTCTCCTTCCAGAATGTTTTTTGACTTCCTAGTCTAGTTCCCTTTCTTGTACTAAAACTGGTTTAATCCATTTTAGCTTTTTAATATCAAAGCCAGACATGCCCTACCACTTAACTGAGCTTTCCGATTATAACTACACAAAAGTGAAACCTGAAACAAAATGCAGTATGTTTTCATGTACTGGGAATGTTCTTGGTTCCATCTCTTCATAGAACAATTGAAGATAGGTTAGCTTTGTAACACTCCTGTGTGAAGCTGATGGAAGATCACTAAGTAAGCATTTGGGATCTGAACCCTAGTTTTTATAATATAAACATACATACCATATAAAAGATAAAATCACTTGCAGTTGCTCAGGTTTAAATACCACTTAGGCAGAGTCTTTGAAAGTGATCTGTGTTTCTTTTGAGCTTATAGACATCTGGGAAGTAGATAGGGTTCTCTACAGTATGGAGTCTCCAACCATGGGAAGGACCCATGCCTCTCTCGGCTCCTTGCCCCATGTTATTCAATATCTGCATGAAACTGCTGTGCAAGGTCATCTGTCACTATCTTGATGACACTTAATTAACATTGCCACTCCAGACTAAGCCGGAGATGTTGCTGAGGTCTTGACCAACATACAGAAGTCCTGAAGGACTGGTGGATTAAAATAAGCTCACATTAAATCTATGCAAGGTAGAGAAGCTAGTTGTACCAACAGAAGAGAATATATGTAGCTCAGGGTTGAACTGTGGAGTCCT